CCCATGGAGTGCGTGGTGTTTTCTATGGCCCACGGGTGAGCTGGTGCCCCCCCCCCCTTTGGAGAAAATTGTGTTAATGAGGCCAAGTGGTACTGCTTCTCCCCACAGCCACCAGGAGAGGAAGGGGAAATCCCATGTGGTGATGCTATCTAAGGGTGGAAGCCAGACATTCAGCAGGGTTAGGGTTAGGGTTAGGGTTAGGGTTTGGCTTCTATTATTTTTTGATTATTTACGTTGAGTGTTTTATTTGCTTGCTTACTTGCTTTTTGAAGACAGAGGCCTCCCTGGGTACCTCAGGATGGTCTCCTTGAAATCACTACAGGGACCAGTCAGACCTCGAACTTACCGTGATCATCCTACCTCAGCCTCTCAACTAAGTGCTGCCTGCTGTGAGGAGATGAGCCTCCAACAGTTGGCCCCAGCCTTTCATGTAGAGACACGGCCTGGCAGAAAATTCTGATCCTTGTTTCTTTGGCCTTTCCGAAGGAGGGCCCGATTTTGCTTGTGAATGTGGACCACTGGGCCTGGCTAACTCTGAACCCCTGACTTGAGGAGGGCAGAACAGAGCAGCATAGTGAGTGGGCCGTGGCCAGGGATGGTGTGGGAGGAGTGAGAGTCGCATAGGGAGCGTGGCACTGAGTGGGAAGTCTGATGGGTTTCCTATGGTTTGGACGTGGGCAAAGTGGGATGTGGCGCCTCGCTGGTTGTTCTGCTGCCACTGCTGGGATAATGGAGACGGTGACTGCTTTTTTGCCTGCCTGAGCCTGGTCACAGGTATTCTTCCTGAAATGCTAGCCACTATCTCATCTGAACGGTATGGAATCAGTGACCCAGAAGAAATTTTGAGGGACAGCCTCTCCCTCACACCCCCACCCTTGTACCTACCCTGTGATTACTGGCTGGCCCACGTGTGTGCCACCACACTCTCTCTGCTGAGAGCTTCTTCTCAGAGTCTACTTTGCACATTAAGTACTTCACTTTTCCCTTGCCAGAAAGGGGAGGAAAACTCCTTTCCTGGCAAGCAGTTGTGTGTTTAGTTTTTGGTTTTGCCTTCACAAGGAGGCAGGCACCGAAAGAGGGGGAGAGGGCAGGAGGGGGGCCAAGGGGAGGGAGGGGAGAAAGGGGGGAGGGAGGGAGGATGGACCCTTGCCATGTAGCCCAGGGCAATCTTCACAGGTTGACCTTAAACTAGTGACTGGTGACACTCCTGTCATTCTTAGCTCGCCTAGGGCTGGAGTCAAGGGCCTATGCACCACTTCTTTGCCTTGGGCTACATTTCATGCTGAGAGCAGTGGAGTGGGGTGGGGTGCCTGGGCAGCACTATCCCCCAATATCTGCTCAGGCAAGTCCCTTGGCCTCCACCTTGCCCCCACGTGATGTCCCCCATGACCCTGGCTGGCTGGCTGGCTGGCAGTCATTGTCCTGTTCCATCCCCCTCTCCTGTATGCTGAACAGCATTGATTTTATATATATATATATATATATATATATATATATATATATGCTTAAAGGTGATAAAGATGATAAGTCAGATGTTCAGATGTAGGTTTTGCTGGGTAGGTACCAGCTTCTTCAGTTGGGCGTGCCCCAGCCCCATGTGATGGGATGTCTTTACTACCACCACCACCATGGTAAGTTAAGGACAACAAGCAACACCAAGGAGAATGACGACAACAGTGGGTGTTGTGTGTGGCGGTGAAGGCTTAGAATCCTAACCTAAAACTCAAAGACAAGGAGAAAACCGAGTTCGTCACAAAGATTTGACTTTTTTGCAGATTTGAGCCCAGCCTGCCAGAGGAATTATTCAGTGGTTTACGGAGACACTGTCAGGACATTCTGAAGATAAAACTAAAGACAGGCGGGGCAGGTAGGGCAGGTGGGGCAGGATGGGCGGGGGAGTGAAGCACCAGCTTTGTCAAAGAAGAGACCTTAGTTGTCATCTCCAACATTAATTAAAATGAGAGAAGTAAGGAAAACCAAGACAGACCAAGAGATGGGGCAGTCCTTTCCCAGCGTGTGGCTCACACCAGATCACATAAAGACAACCACTGTGGAAGCAGAGCCAATGTCAGGTGGGATCCGGTGCGCCCTCACCTCCTCTCAGTGCGTGGCCTGGCCTGCCTCGGAAGTGGCCAGCTGGCCCTGGTTGAAAGGCGAGAAGGGAGGAAAGAAGGAAGCAAGCCTGGCACATCTTGGTGGGCTCCACCGTTCAAAGACTTTCTTCACATCAAGTTGTCACCAGGGACTTAGCTCAGTATTGTAAGCTCTTGCAGCCTAGGAAACAGGAAACGTGAGATCATGGGTTCAATCCCCAGTACCACAAAAACAAAGAAATAAATAAAACAAAATTTAAAAACAAGGAAGTTAAGCTGGGCGAGGTGGCTCACACCTGTTATCCCAGCACTTGGGAGGCTGAGGAAGGAGGAGCCTTGTCAGTTCGAGATCAGCCTAGGCTACAAAGTGAGCTCGAGGCCAGCCAGAACTGCATATAGAGACTCCC